GAACCAAAACCGTTGGCCCGCTTGGTTAGTTGCACTCCTTCTCGTTTTCCATGCAGCACTCGTTTCCTTTGCCCCTATAAATACAACCCTCTTCCCATCTCCATTCTCAATCTCCATCTTCTTCTTCGATTATTAAATACAAGACCTAGCCATGGCCAAAACGACCCTCCTCCTCGCCGTTTCATTCCTCGCAACAATGCTCACCCTCTCCACTTCTCAAGTAGCACCCCTCACTACCACCGCCGCCGCCACGTGTCCCCTCCCGCCCGAGCTGTCGCCGGTCCTCCTCGCCGACCAGACATCCAAACTGATCGCCTCCACGGACTACGGCAACATGGTCCACGTGCAGCCGGCAGCCGTCGCCAACCCGAGATCCGTCGACGACATCTCCCTGCTGATAAAGTCGTCGTACAGCTGCTGCGTCCCCTACGGCGTAGCCGCCAGAGGGAACGGCCACTGTACTAAAGGACAGCGATGGTGCGCAACGGCGTCGTTCTCAACATGCGGAGCTTGAGTAATAGTGCTGGAAACGCGGGATCGAACAATGTTGTGGTTTCCCCGGACCGTACGTTTGCTGACGTCAGCGGCGGGGCGCTGTGGATCGAGGTGCTGAACGAGACTCTGAAGCTGGGAGTTGCGCCGGTGACGTGGACCGACCTCTTGTACCTGACCGTCGGGGGCGCGCTGTCCAATGCTGGGATCGGCGGCCAGACCTTCCGGTTCGGGCCACAGATCGCCAACGTTCACGAGCTGGACGTCGTTACAGGTAATCAAATTTCTCGTCATGACTGGGATTTTCCATGCGTAACATTTTTTTAAGCTGTCATTTGGCCCAACAAGTTAACCCTACACGAACCAACCCGTCACTGTAAACCAAAAATTTATAATTAATTAGGTGAATGGATACCAATTGTAATGATTCATTTGTCTCTGAGCAAGCTATATATATTACATTAGCTTGGCGGCCGGTAGTGCAATGTGGAAGAAACGTATACCGAATAATTAAGCTTTGCTATTATATAGTGGCAAAATTTTAATCTTGGACGGCTCCTATATCATTATGTAGTACAAGATAATAATGGGCGAGAAATTATCCTACTATGGAAGAAACTTGTTATGACATCCAACGTTCAATTATTTGGCAAGATTGCTCTTATCATCAAAATATATATTAGTAGCAACCTCAATCATGAACGACTTTTCTTGCAAAAATGGTAAATCAATCATTCATTTAGGATAAGGGGTTTTCATTTAAATTTGTCGGACGATTTGGACGTCAAGGGTGATTCTTCTTGTATTTATTATCGATTTTCGCTTTTAACCGTGCATATACATGTAGTGTGTTATGTTTTATGCGATTTGTACTGAATTTTGGATATGGTTGTTTGATGAAGGGAAGGGAGAGATAGTGACCTGCTCGGCGAACAAGAGCTCTGAGCTGTTCTATGCAGTTTTGGGCGGTTTAGGGCAATTTGGAGTGATCACCAGAGCAAGAATTGCCTTGGCTCCCGCTCCCCAAAGGGTATGTTATTGTTACCCCCTCCCAAATGGTCAAACTGTATTTTATGAAACAAGTCAACCACTTTGTTGTGTGTATTTATACTATATTGTCTACAAATCTTTAGCGTATCCAGTGAAATGTATATTCTATGTATGACTACCCATTATTGTGATGTGCTACCAACTTAAGAATTTGTCTCTTTCTAGCTTAGCTATTTGGTAGTTACAACTTACAACATAACATTGCTCAGGTTCAGGTATTTTCAAGGATCTAACAATAGTGTTTTTTAATAGTGTTCTCTGAAACTATTTATATATACAAGGGTTTGAATTTGCTCTCAAAATTCTGAGCATCAAACAACAAATCATTATAAACCATTTCTAGAGCTAAAAAAATTGAATGGGGTTTGTTTGACTACAATTAGTTTAGTGATGTCATTGTCACTTGGTTTTAATTTTTCTTTTTCCAAAATTTGTTTATAGAAAATTATCCTTAATTAAAATCACTGTGCTTTATACGTTTTGACCGCATATGATTCAATTAGTACTATATTCATTGATTGCAATTAACTCCGGTATTTGCCTTTCTAGCCTTGTCTCATCTTAAGTGCTTAAAGTATAATAGTTATTATAATAAGTATATGATTTGCCTACCAATGCACCAAACATAAACATCCCTTGCAACAGTCTGCACCACCACCAGCAGCCGTAACCGCACTTAACTTAAAGTCAACCGTTCGGTAGAATCCAACCAAACGGTTTTGTTATGTTTGTTCTCGTAGTAGTATACATTGAATCGTGAATCTCATTCGTTTCGCTACACAATTTTCTACAGGTGAAATGGATGCGACTTTTGTACAGTGATTTCACCACTTTTAGCAACGACCAAGAGAAGATTATCGCCAATTACTCGCAGCCCGATTCAGTTGATTACTTAGAAGGCCAAGTGTTACTCGACAACGGCACTCCAAACATGTGGGAGACTAGCTTCTTCCCGACAGAGGTTGTCCCCACCATAACCTCCCTCGTCAAAGAAAAGGGCGTCGTTTACGCCTTGGAGGTGGCCATCTACTACAACTCCACCAACGAGGAGATCAAGGACCAGGTAACCAATAAAACCCTAACCAAGGCTTGATCAAAACGTTAAAACGGCACCGTATAATACGATGCATGCATTCGTCTAGTAATAGTGTTACTTACGTACGTACTTTAATTTGTTGTTGTGTATGTAATTGTAGCAAATGAAACAGCTGATCAGGCAGCTAAATAACGAGCGCGGGCTAGCTGCCATGAAAGACGTGACCTACTATAAGTTTCTAGACAGAATCCCGTGCCCGGTCCCTCGATCCCGCAGTCGCACCCGTGGCTGAACCTTTTCGTCCCGAAATCCGGCGTGTCCCAGTTCAATGATGGCGTCGTTAGAGACATCATCATGCGAACAAACATCACCGTCGGTCCCGTCCTTTTCTACCCGATGAACAGCAACAAGTAAGCGTCATTAGGGCCTTAGGGGTGGACAACGATTCGGTTCATTTCGTCTCGTATTAATTTCTAATGATGATGATGATTTTGGGTTTTTCAGGTGGGGTGACAAGATGTCGGTCGTTATACCGGACGAGGAGATTTTCTACGCGTTCTCGTTGCTGAGTCAGAGCAATGTGAATGACTGGCCGAAGTATCTTGACCAAAACGCTGCCGTGTTGGCGCATTGTGAGGAGGCTGGGATTGAGGTGAAGCAGTACCTGGCGGGTCATTCCACGCAGCAAGACTGGATCAAGCATTTTGGGCCGAAGTGGGCCGGTTTTCAGCAGATGAAAGCCCAGTTCGACCCCAAGTTCATCCTGTCCCCCGGCCAGAAGATCTTCAATTAGGGGAGAAACATAAAAATAAGATTTGATTAGGGGTCGTATACCATACTCTCATTGTGGAGCCACATTAGCAGAGTGCAATTTTTACTAGTTGCCTTGTGCATATATAAATAAACATATATGCTTAAAAGGATTGCAGTTTGGTGGTATGGAGATATCAGTGCTTGCATGTAAAGTTGTAAACCCATATGACTATGAGTCATAAATCCAATATATTATATGCCTACATTTTCTACATTGGAGGAGGATGTATGTCACGACTAGAGCAACCTTTAAATTCTAATTGACTATATTATAGGAATATATTATTGTAAGCGGAAGGATGCAATGAATTCTATTATTGTATGCAATGAAAGCACTGTTACTCTCCCCTTTAGAGTTTTGCACCTTTGATTTTGTGGGTTGGCTTCTCTGATGTATTGGGTTGGGCAGGGTTGGGGTAGATTGTATAGGTTTTCTCTTGACATTTCTTGGGAAAAAAAAAAAAAGAATCAAAATTTTAACCATCAAACTTTATCTGGGATGGGATAGGATTAAAAGATAGTAATGCTATTAATTAATTATGACATGTAGCTGCTCACATCCCACAAATGTTACATTATGACTTTGTTTAGTAGTACAATCTATTTCTCACGTCTTTCCCAAAAATCGAACTAGTGAATTGTCAATAAAGGGAGACATCACTCGAAAATATCGAAATACTTACTTAATATGTTATTAATTAATTGTCATGTTTCTTGCAAAAGAGTAAACAAAGTTGTCTTTTGACCATTACTTTTCAACTACGGGAGATGGAACAATAATAATGATGTTATTTAACCTTTTGGGTTGGCCAAATTCTAATAGAAAACGGCACTCCTAACATTTGGGAGATTTGACTTATTTTATTTGCAACACTAAGATTAACAAATTCCCTAGTCAAACAAAACTCATGGAGTGGCTTGTATATATGTGATAAGAACAACACCATAAGGTGGGTTAACCAATGCCAACCGCGATTAGGTAGATTTATCCCCCCAATAAATATTGGTTAATTGTGTGTATGTATCACACGTTGGTTGAACGACGACGTGGTAATGAAACTTTTGGTTTCTAATCAAACAATTTGAACATCATTGAGTCCCATAATCTGAGTCTTAAAAATCACAAAAAATGGCAAGAGCCCAACTAAGTATTCAACTAAAATTTTGGAAGACTTATAATTGTTTGGAACAATTTTTTTCTATTAAGATCAAAGGGAACATGAAAATTATTTGAAATTTCAATGTAAAGAAATAATGATGGAATATGAATCAATCTCAATTGGATCAAATTAGGTTCTCGATTGAATGGGAGTAGTACATATGTTCATCACAAATTTTGAATTTAATCACTTTATGGATGATTAGATGCACTATTAAGATTTTCACACAAAACGTGCAACACAAAACAACCACAAGCACTCAAATCAAATCGAAAACCAAGAAATATTTTAAAACATATGTTTCATCGCCAATAATAAGTTAATAACCAGCATTACGAGTTATGGACTGATGGCAACCCAACCAAACCAATTGCACCCATAACAATTGGATCTCAGGCCATATTTGATACTTGGGCCTGTTGACCAACATCAACCGGGGCCTTGCGGGCTCCTCACAGTCCCTAAACGTTACTATTTTCAAGACATTCATTCCCCATTTCTCCATTCTCAGTCTCCTTCTGTAGTCATCCGATCCATCTGAACTGTCAACACTCGGTAGCATCTCGGGATTTTGATTAGTAAAATGCGTAAATCTTCTTCATCTCCATCGGAATAATCTTCAAACTGATTCAGCGCCGGAGAGCCGGTTTCGTCGCCGCCGATTCCACCAAGGTAGCATCCTCCAGCTAGCTCTCTTCTTGATCTGTGCTTGCCACTTTTCCCCGTCAAATTTGCTGCTTGTGGCTTATTCTCCGGTAACTATCATATGGCGATTACTGAAAATGTTGGTTTTGATCGGATGACATAGCTGTGCTGTATTCTTCACTTCTCTGTTTCTTGCGTTTTCTTTCTTTACTGTGCTTGTTCTCTGCCAAATCATAAATTGTAGAGAACTGTAGATGCTATAGGCTGCTCGACCTGCTTTGGTCGATCTGTTTGCTGCGAGAAGCTTCGTCTTTACTTCGCTTGCCGAATTCGGTGCAATGAGATGGACGTGAAACTTGTGGAAATCGCTGCAGTTGCCTAAGGTTTGAGCTGTTCTCCGTTGATAGGCGGATCAGCTGGTGCATTTCTTGCTTCTTGCGGAGCCAGATTAGGGTGTAGAGTTTAGTTCTGCCTAGGAAGTTTAGACTTTTTGTAGTCGTTATAATGGCTATTTTCATGAACTTGCATCTCTTTGTCCCAGAAGCGTTGTGATTTTCTGACTTCAATTCTTGTTCCTTGTTAGATGATAGCACGACATTGGTTAGGCTTCTCCCTGGTGCTGCTATGCCTTTTACATACTTCAGAAGCCAGCCCTGGTGATGCTCATCCTGTTTACAGGTAAATTTTACTGTCACTCGATCATATGCTTACACGGATGGAGAGTCAATAGAATACTACCAGTGCATTGTTTATCCGCTAGAATCTCTCATTTTTTCAGATGTGTGTACACTGTTTTTGCTGTCAAATGTTCAATTTATGTCTTCCATTTTTTATGTGAATGTTTTGTGTTTGCTCTCCCTGTGAAACACTAATTGAACATTCTGCTGATCGTTTCCCCTTCCGTGTTCATTTTGGCTTTTGTTTAGGAGCTGTGTGACAGTATGTGAGAGGGATGGCTGCATTGGTAAAACCTGCTTTGCCGACTGCAACTATTCTTCTCATGGTGCCTCTCATGATAGTCCATGGTACACTCAAGAGCCTCTCTATCAACGCTGGAAACAGTGGGGCTGCGAGAGTGAGTGCAGGTTTCTGCATGCTTGCCAGAGAAGAAGAGAGAGCAAAACACGGTTATGGTCCACTCAAATACCATGGAAAATGGCCCTTCAAGCGTGTCTTCGGCATTCAGGTTTCAATTTCCTCGGCACTGTTATTAGTTGCAGTAGTGTTCCTTTAGTTGGTTTGAGATATAGCCTGTATATTCATCGACATGTCCTTCTTCCTCCAGGAGGTTGCCTCTGTGGTTTTCTCTGCATTGAACCTTTATGCTCATATTCATGGTTGGCTATCATTGATCATCCTTCTATACTACAAGTTGCCCCTGAGATATGACAAGAAGACTTACTACGAATACACCCCATTGTGGCACATCTATGGACTCTTGTCATGTAACTCCTGGTTCTGGAGCATTATTTTCCATAGTCGGTAAGTTCCTGTTTTCTATGTTATGAAACTAGTACTATGGAACTAATTTTCTGCTACAGGAATGACTATGTCGTCAGAGCATAGATCAGTAGTGCAAATAATGCATGCCATTAAATCATACAAACACGAAGTTGCACTAGAACTGACCTATAATCTTCATCTTGTTCTTCCACGAGGTTCACTTAACCTGTCTGACTTTATAATCTCATGTTCTGCTACTTCTATAACTTTGTCCAACCAACTAGGTCGATTTGCTTCCCATCTTAACTGAAGCTTTTTCGGATCCGCACCTTACCTTTTTCTCTTCCATTTTCTCAATCGAGTTGCAGAGATGTTGCCTTGACAGAGAAGCTAGACTACTCATCCGTAGTGGCATTAATCGGATACTCACTTATACTTTCCATCCTAAGAAGCTTCAACATTAAGGAGGAAGCTTCCAGAGTCATGGTCGCAGCTCCACTGCTCGCATTCATCACAACCCATATACTGTACCTCAACTTCTACCAGATGGACTACGGTAGTAACAGCTTCTTCCCAGTTTTTCACTCATTTCACTTCGGTCACAAGTAGTAATGTTTTTTTTTTTCAGTCTAGACTAAGACAATAATGCCAATTCTGTCTTCTCGCAGGATGGAACATCATAGTCTGTGTCGCAATGGGCATCGTCCAGCTTCTCACGTGGGCGATCTGGGCAGGAGTGAGCCGCCATCCGTCTCGATGGAAGGTCTGGGTACCAGTGATCGGAGGTGGGCTGGCCATGCTGCTGGAGATCTACGACTTCCCTCCGTACAAAGGCTACTTCGATGCCCATTCAATTTGGCACGCCACAACCATCCCTCTCACATACGTGTGGTGGAGCTTCATTAGAGATGATGCTGAGCTCGCCACCTCCTACCTCCTGAAAAAGTCCAAATAGCTTCCTAGTTTCGTAGACTGACCCACCTGCTAGTCTTGATGGTTTTCAAGTTCAACTAAGGTAGAGAGAAACAAGGGGGCATTCGCATTTTTACGTAAGTCAGCTGGTTCGTAAACAACTGTGTTGTTGATTGGAAGGGAACAGTTGTCTCATTTGTATCTTATATCTTCGCCATGGATGACCTATCCGCTGCTTGTAATCTATTCTTCTGTTTCTCAGAGAAAGGCCCAGCTGAACACAGTTTTAACAGTCTGAACTCTGTTTTCCTCATCGAACTCTACGTGTATACATTAGTTGAACAACAATGCAGATCCTACTTTCGGTGGCAGAGTTTTCGTTGTACTACTGAATGTACTAAACATGTTAAATCGACACTTTCTACACTATACAGATAGACCAATCTCCATGCTTCATCCAAAACACTAACCTGGTAAGTCGATCTATGTAATGCACACAATATACCAGAATAACGGCAAAAAAAAAACAGCACGATACGAAATATGGACTAAATGACAGACAATATATCTAAACGAAATGGAGTTTCGACTATAGGATTACATGCCATCAAAACAGTAAAACATCCTCAAAGTTCTCAGAAAAAGACTTTGGACCAAATTGGCATAGCTACCAAACTACTACCCGATACAAAATCCAACAGAGACGACAAAATTCCAAACAGGTAAAACCAAAAAACATAAGGATAACTTGAACACCATGCTCCTTCTACTCCACCTTACAGCTTGTCCTCGAACTCGGAGAGAGGAGTCATCTGTTCCTTCAAACCCTTCCTCTTACGGATGTCTGCCACAAGCGTCGAAGCCTGGGTTCCTGCCTCCAATGGATCAGACATCATCATGTCCCAGTGATCAAACACACACTGCGGGAAAGCCTGTCCTGAAGTTGCTGCCCTCAGAGTGCTGGAGAATCCAAAGGACTCAATGACAGGGAGGTAAGCCTTGATGTTGTAGAGAGGTGTACCAGGCCTCTGCATCTCCTCGAACACATGGCCTCTCTTCTGATTCAGCACACTATAGATACCTCCAAGAGCCTGCTCGGGTGCCTGGATCTCGACCATGTAGACTGGTTCAAGCAGCCTGGGCTTGGCGGTCAGCTGGGAAGCATAGATGACCCTCCTGGCAGTGGGAATGACCTGGCCACCACCTCTGTGAATAGCATCAGCATGGAGAACCACGTCACAGACTTCATAGCAAATACCTCTCATGTTTTCTTCACACAAAGCTCCTTCTTTTGACGCCCACTGGAAACCAGCAACCACAGAGTCCTTGATTTCATTCAAGTACTGGACTCCCTTACACATATCAACCACCATGTTGGGTCCGGTGGTTTCAGGTCCAAAACACCAGATCTTCTTGGCAAGATCCTTGTCCCAGCCAAACTCCTCAGCCAGGATCTTGGAACGAACCTTGGGGTCATCCCTCGGGCCAATGCGGCCATCATCAATCGCCTCTGCCAAACCTTCCTCCATGGGCCTTGCCTCCATATACAGACGGTTGTGCTTGTTGGGAGACTTGCTCATGACAATACGGCAAGACTTCTCAAGCACAGTTTCACGGAAGGACACAACGGGGTCAGACTTGATGATTTCAGCACCACCCATGAAGTCATCCTGCAGATCCTTCAAGCAAATCTCAAGATGGAGCTCTCCAGCACCAGCAATGATGTGCTCACCAGACTCCTCAATTGAACAGACAACCATAGGGTCTGATTTCGCCAAACGCTTCAATCCTTCGACAAGCTTGGGCAGATCAGAGGCAACCTTACACTGGACAGCAACACGAACAACAGGAGAAACGGAGAACTTCATAGCACGAATAGGGTGAGCATCCACTTCCTTCTCGTTCGTCAAAGTCGCATTCTTGGTAATGAACTGGTCTAGACCAACCAAAGCAACAGTGTTACCGCAAGGAACATCCTCCACAGTTTCCTGCCTCTTTCCCATCCAGATAACAGTCCTCTGAACATTCTTGACATACAGATCCTTCTTTTCACCAGGGACATAGTTGGGCCCCATAATCCTTACCTTAACACCAGTAGACACCTTCCCAGCAAACACACGACCAAAAGCAAAGAATCGACCTTTGTCAGATGCTGGAATCATTTTGGAGACATAAAGCATAAGAGGTCCTTCAGGGTCACAGTTTCTAATGGCAGTAGCATACTGATCATCGAGTGGGCCTTCATATAAATTCTCAACACGATACCTCTGAGCAGTTGCAGGAGATGGAAGGTGAAAGATCATCATTTCCAATAGAGCATCAGCTGCCGGAAGCCAAGTCTGCATGACACGCTTCATCAGGGGCTTTCCCATCAATTCCTTCTCATCGGACTTCATCTGAATTCCCAGCTTTGACAACATAGGCCACAGCTTGTCTTTCTGATCGTTCATGCAAGTGTTGATCACTTGCTTGATGGGCTCGTAACAGAATTGAACAAACCCACGCTTGCACGTGGCAGAACCAGTGTTCTTGGTGGTCCACTTCTTTGTTGCTGGGTCAAAGAAGTTCTCACCCCACAGTCTCTCCATCATCTTAGACTCATCAACTCCAAACTTGGAAGCATACATCTTGGCAAAATTGGTGAGGGTAAAAGCCCACCCATGAAGCCCAGCAGAGAAAGCAACAGTACCTTTCTCAGGATAAACCTGGACATCTCCAAGAAGGGGATCTTCGTATGTGGCCATGATGACATTAGCATTTTCAATCACCCTCTGGAACGTCTGATAGGCCTCCTCTCCATCCACCTGGAGTTCAAGGAAACACCTGTCCATCTTGTTGACAGTCAGCACAGGACGAATCCTCTCACCAAGAGCCTGACGTAGGACTGTCTCAGTCTGGACACAGACTCCCTCAACACAATCAACCACAACTAGAGCACCATCAGTGATGCGGAGAGCAGCAGTGACCTCAGATGAGAAGTCAACGTGGCCAGGAGAGTCAATAAGATTGATGAGGTACTCGTTGCCATCTCTCTGTCCCTTGTACTGCTTGAGGGATTTTTCACTCATCTCATAGTAGAGAGAGATACCGGTGGACTTAATTGTGATACCACGTTCTGCTTCATCAGCCCTGGTGTCAGTCATACGCACATCACCAGCAACCTCCTGGGCGATGATTCCAGCAGCAGCGACTAGGGAATCAGTTAGAGTTGATTTGCCTAGAATAAACAAGAACAAACAATATCACTAATTAGAACCCATAAACAATAATCGTAACAAACTAATGTGGCGAGGATGTGAAATGGGGTTCAGAATGGTAGTTACCATGATCGACATGAGCAATAACAGACATATTACGGATGTTATGCTTCATGTCCATGATGCGGCGAAGCTCCTCTGCTGTGAACTTCACCTGTTGAGAGATAATAAATTGAGTCATTACTAACTATACATACAGTTAATAGAAGATAACATTGCAACATAGTTTAGTTAGTCTGGAAACTTACCATCTTGCCTACTCTTTATAGTAATATCCTTCAACAGCTATATGTTCGGACACCTGCACCATCCAAAAAGGAGATAGTTAGAACCAACCAAACAAATCCAATCAGCGTAAACAGAAACCATATTCAAAGAACACATATAAGTCCTAATGACATATTCCTAAACCAATCAATTCCATAAGTAGACCATCCAGCAACAAATCGATTCTCTATTGACTGCAAACCAGCGGAAGTAAAAAACGAAGACACTAGTGAACAGCAAACCAGAAATCCATTACCAAGCTTTTATAACTACTCATCAGAGAAAATCCAAATCACCCGCTCGAGGAATAAACCCAGTAAACAAAGATCCAAGAGTCAACAAACTCAAAATCGGCAATCAATAACTGATACAATAAACGGATTTGAAGGATGTGAACCGATTAGCAAACTGAGAATCCGACCGACTCGGACACAATAACTCATCGCCAAAAGCTCGGTAATTACGAAGATCCAGACAATCGAAACATCAGCAAGAAACAAAATCATAAGTAACTGAAAGCTAGAGATCTACTGATACCTCAGCGAAAGACGAAGAACATCAACCAATCATAGCCAAAAACAGAGAGACTAATCATGAAAATTAGATCGAAGCTAGCGCAGTGAAGAAGAAGAAGAAGAGAGAGAGAACGAACAGACCTGATGCACGGGCGATCGACGGGAGGGTGTATGGGGCCGTATTAACTCTCTCGTCTAATTTCTCAAGTGACAAGAGCGGCTTAGGGAAAAGTTAGAACTAGGGTCGCGTATATATTCGGCCACAGAAAAATCCTATCCCTCCCTTGTGCCAGCTTGCGAACGCCAAACTAGGGTTTTTCCTTGTTGGGCTTGGGCCGACCACTTATTTGGGCTCCTTAGTTCTGATTTTCCTTTGGTTTTGGTGATATAGCGATAGTTTAGTGGGGATGCATGGTTGACTAGGGATGGGAACAAAACTCCAACCCATGAGTACGCACCCGATTCAACCCGGTCAATGCGGGTAAAATTCGTGTTAATGGGTTTTAGGCAGGGCTTGATTTTAAATCCGTTCACTATTTACCGGGTTGGGTTTGGGTTTAGGTAAACCCGGCCTATGGGTAGCCGTCCACACCCATATAATTAATTTTCTTGATATTTAATATTCTAAACAACTAATCTTATTTATGTTTGTGGAGACATGTCTAATTTTTTCTTTCTAGTTGTGTAGAATGAAGTTGATGTTATCGAGTGGAGAGTGAAGAAACTTAATTGAAAGGAAGACTTTCAATTAATCATGTTATTTATGGATAATTTATGATTTGCTTCAATTTTCTTGAGTTTTCTAGATTGGTGTTGAACAATTTGTATAGTTAATTTGTGATTTGCTTGAATTTTCTAGAATGGTGTTTTATATATGGATAATTTGTATTGAGAGATTGATATTTGACTTTAATTTTGATAGGAACTTGTTATTGTAAATTTTTCACGACAAAAAACTGTGGGTATCCATAAACCCGCGGATACCCAGCGGATTGGGTTGAGTTTGAGTTTTTCAGGCCCAATGGGTTTTACCCCGGGTTTTTTTCACGCATAAACCCATGGGTTTGGGTTTGGCAAAACCTGGCCCAACCCGACCCAATTCCATCCCTATTGTTGACAATGCATTATTTTTTAATTTTTGTTCTTCAAAAATGCAACCATTCTTTTGTTGATTTGATGGAAACAGTCACTCATATTGAGTGATATTACTATCTCACGTAAATTTGAGAGTGTTTAAGGAGATTGTTTGAATGTTATTTTGTCCCAATTATATTCCTATATAGTTTTACATATACCCATAATAACTTTTTGAAGTTGTTTATCTAATCATCTCTCATATTTTCCTAGGAACACTTCCCTCCACTTTTTTTGTTCCACCCGTCCAAAACAACTCACCTTCCACCCCCAATTTTTGAGGTCTCTCCCTAAAATAAGCGAATAACTTTTTATTTTCTCTCCATTCTCATATGTCGGTATACGAGGATCTTACCATTACCAAAAAGTGCTTCTTTGTTTTCTTATGCGCTCTCACTTGCGGCTGATTATAGTGTATATAATTTATAAATATATATATATGAACAATATAATAAAAATTTTCATATATTCATGTTAAATTGAACCAAAACAACCGGATCATTAACACTCAACCTACTTGCTTGACAGACTAAACCGGGTTTACAACCTTGGTTTGAATTAGGTATGAACAAAACCACCCACCCATGTACCCTAATTTGAATAGACAAAGCAAAGTATTCAGAATTCAAATATTACACAGGCCCAGCCCAGCCCAGCCGAGCCCATGAATAGAAGGCCATACTAGAAGGGATGGATCCTAATCTGGTTAGGAGAATGCAAACCCAATCCGTAAGAAACAAGAGCACCAGGCAGCCATAGTAGGGGAGTAGTTTAAATCGAGATCTAGGATTTCGATCTCGACACCTCGTCCTCTGCCTTCTTTCTGATACAACTCATTTCCTTTATCTTGTTTCAATCAATCCGTCCTCTGTTTCTCTGCCACCAATCCATGGAGAGCCGTAAAAAACGACGAATCCGTCCACGAGCAAATCCTCCCATCAGCAAGCTTGGAGACGATGCCCTGATAGAAATTCTGATTCGCCTCCCCAACCCTCGATACGCCTGCCGCTGCAAATCTGTTTGCAAGCGCTGGAGGTCCCTGATGTCGAGCCCCGCCTTCAATCGCGGTTTCGCTTCCCACTACCAGGATATGACGATCGTGAAGAAACTACCGCCACCTCCGCCTATTCCCTCTGACGACCCGCTTTTGAAATCATCGATCATCATGAGCTTCCTTCCTCAAGATCCTTTGGACAATCGATCAGAACTCAGAGTCCTGGATTGCTTCAAGGATTTGCTTTTATGCGGGTTTTGGGATTGCTTGACTACTCATACAGAAATGGTCAGAACGTTTTTGGTTTGCAATCCGTTTACGAAGCAATGGTTAGCACTTCCTGTAGCTCCAGACAAGCCCAAGGGTTGTCGTTGGACGGTCTCCAGGTTAGTTTGTGAACCCCGCATTTCTTTTGATCTTGATCTAGGACCAGAAGGAGAGGACCAAAGTTCATTCCTTGTTTATTCGGAGTATCGGTTCCGGGTGTTGTCTATCTATCAAGATAGGACATCAATCAAACTCGACATGTTCTGTTCCGAGTCTGGGGAGTGGACCAAAGAAGCTCTTATTCTTGATGGATATCGCTTACTCGATTACAAAAATGTATGGTCCTGCAATGGGGAGTTGTTTTGGTCTTGCGTTAAGGATGAACAAGGGGATGATCCATTGCTTGCTTCGCTTAATGCTTTTTGCCTTGATACGCCTATTGATATTTATGCTTGTCCGCTCTTCGACAAGACAAAGCAGTGGGATCTTTCAATCTCACAGGGTGCTCTGCACGTAATTTTGCGCGAAATGCAAACTGAAACTGTAAGCGTTTGGAGACGGGAAGAAGATGGCAGGTCATGGACGATGCAATGTGAAGGGTCGTTGAAGACGGGTACATCATCATCAATGTCTTACTTTGATCTCAACTACTATTCTATACTTAATACTCATCCAGAGAGGCCAGAAGTTGTTTACTTTAATTATCAACCTCCTTATATCCTAGATGGAGCTACCTTGTCCTACGATCTGAAGCGGGGAGAATTAGAGTACGTCAATTTTATAATGCTATATACACCTCATTGGACGGTGTTCCAACCTAGGGTCTCCTGCTGGCCTACTCCAATTCCAAGGTACGAGGAATTGCGAGGTATCTACAATGGGAAAATGAGCTGGTTCAGAGTACCAAGCAACCACAACTCTCTCGATACTGCTCATCGAAACAAGTACAAAAGATCGACAAGAAAGAGGGACTCTGGGGTTGGTTTGATTGCTGAACCGATAGAGGAATGCCAATCCAGTAACCACGGTGTGGCAAGTAACAACAAGTCCTTGGGTACTGCTCACCGAAAGAAGTGCAAAAGATCAGCAAGAAAGCAGGGCTTTGGGGTTGGTTCGATCGCTGAACCGATAGACGAATGGCAATCACACAACCATGGAATCGATCAATTATACCCAGGCAGACGTTGCTTGCGAATCAAGTAGGATGATTGGTATTAGAAGACATGTGAGTTGAAGGTGGGAAATGAGACTATGCGTTGATCAATTGGTTTTGGGGGTGTTGGTTCATGCACTACAGGCTATGATGAAGAACTGTGTTTTTGGTGTTTGCGATTGAGCGAAGAAGGAGATGATGATGATCAGAAAGCAAGAGTGCTGTTTCCTTAGCAATTGTTGGATGGTAGAAGTGGCAGCTGCTATCTAATTGTGGCATGGTGATGATTGTATTGTTTTTGTTTAAGATGGTTTTCATTTCAGATGATAATGTTATCCGTACAATGTGAAGTAGTTGCGGCTCTAGTCAATCCTCCAGCATTACCATTCCCACCGGCAGTAGGCTGGCCGGATGTTAATTAGCACTGGGGTTGAAAGTCGTGCGACGATAATTTATTTATGGTTTATTTATTGTATTGTTGGTAATTTAATCTCATGTACGATATATGATTTCCTTATCGCTCTTCAAATAAGGATTCCATTTGACAAATACACTCAGCTTAGCTTTGTGTTATGTTAGATGATGAATCCGTAGGAAATCTGTTTGCTTCTCAACCTCCCTTGTTCACTTTTAGCGGCGACACTGATCTATGGTTTTCTTTCTGGTCGAGAGACTAGCCACTGCCACTCGACTAATAGAGGACAGATGCTTACACATTCAGTCTTTACTTGACAGCTGTTATGATCACTCTGCCTTTGATTATGCTACATTTAGCTGGTGTACATGCTATCAGTTGACAAGAAACTCGTCTTTCCAACATAGTGGGAAAGAAGAAGAAACAAAAAGAGGAAGTTTTGATGCTAACAATTCTCCCAACAGGATTTTCATAATACAGCGCAACTGCTCTAGTTACTACATGCAGATTCAAGATGGGTTAGCTGTTTTCAGTACTAAACTGCACAACACAGAACGATGACATCCTGTATAAGTGCTTAAGGGAGGGGGCAATTATGAAGAATTTGGAAGAACTTGAAGCCATGAATCATGGATCATCATGCTGTTTCCGTCCTCCACAGCATACCCCAACACATACCTCAACAAAATGGCAGGCTAAACCAGGTTCGACCTTCACTCTTCGACACGAGGGTAGTGGTCGCCAATGGTTCGTTAGTCCTCTCAACTTGTCCAGATTGATGGTTGGCTGAAATTGGTCATTTAGCAACGGTTGCATTCACCATCGATGGGTGAGTAACATAGCTGGTAGACAACTTTGAGCAATGGCAATCCTTCCACCAAAAGATATGGTCTTGGCCTTCCAGCAATCGAATTCTCCTGCGAAACTTATCAATAACTGGATTCTAAATCGATTGAGAAGACGGTCAGCATTCGAATGGTAATCCAAGATAGGTGGCAGGGAAATTCCCATCCCACGACCCATCATCCTTGAGAAATTTTGCAATAAGATGGGTTGCAATTGATGTTTGATTAAAGAAAATAGAGGCTGATAAAATGATTTATACATAATAGTAGTAACTCGAGAGCTTGCATTCATTGGCATGATTCAGAATCATAAAATGAGTCCCATTATGAAACAAAAGAAAGCAAAAGTGTGGAGAGAGATGTAGATTATTTAAAGCATATTGATATATTTAGTTTTTTCAATGATTGTGAAATCACACCGGAGATTGTGAAGTTAAGTTAATAGCAGGGTATTCCTTTTTCTTTTTTGGTAACAAAACAGACACCAATAGTGTCACTAATTAGTCATTAAACGTTCTTGAGATAAACCCATTACATCATACATTAGTCAATAGCACAGATCTGGATCACACAGGTCAATCCTGGCGTTTTGCTGGGTTGGTGGTGTTTTGTATTTTACTCTACTCACTGCCACTGGAGTTTAATTCATGACTCACCAGAAACCCAAAACATGAGAGAAATTTGAGTAGTATCCATCCAAATCCCAGAGTAGGTCCCAGAAAAGGCAGATTGATTGAGTGGTAAAAGCCGCAAGGCCTCCCTCGTGTTTGTGTGTATGGGCAATATCAGTGAGTCGTTGCACCAACCTAAAAAACCCAGTCTCCCTCCCACCTGCTCTTTTCTGTTCTTGCTGCAGTGTTTCAGTCTCCCACTGCTTCTAACGAGTAATTCAATCTCAATACAACTGACTCGGGAATCCATCCGGAAAGTTGTTGCTTATTAACCTAAGTAAGGAATAAAGGGTTCTTTCATCTCATCACCGCTTAGAACAACAACTAACTAGCTAAATACACAAGCCGGCATTGCAGAGCCAGATCACAATGTTCATCAACCTATCATCTTGCAAATTCACTTAAATCCTAAATAGAAAAAAATGAAAACAATACCAGCAATCATTTTGGCACGCTACTCACAACCCTGGCACCTACCCTGTCCAGCCGCTTTACCATAGCAACTGATTCCAAGTTCCCTTCTCTCCGGAAAGCCTCCACCATACTCTTCCCGACCTCTTCCCCTCTTTCTTCCCCATCTACCACCGCCACCGCCGTCGGCCCTGCACCGCTGATCGTACACCCGAACGCCCCAGCCTCCAAAGCCGCCTTCTTCACAGCTTCCATCCCCGGAATCAGGGGAGCCCTCTTCGGCTCCACGATCTTGTCCGACGACAGAGCCTTCCCCAGCCCGGCCAGATCCCCTCCCAAAATCGACGCCACCAGCGCTCCCGCCTGGCTGCAATTCCACACGTGGTGCGGCATCGCGATCTCCAATGGCAGCGCCGCCCTCATCTTCTTCGTCGGCGCCTCGAATTCGGGGCTCACCAGCACGAAAAGCAATTCCTTGTCCGCCGGGAACTCCAGCCTCATCAATTCGAGCGGATCGTAGCTCCGGATCAACACGAACCCTCCCATTATCGCCGGGGCGATGTTGTCCGCGTGGTACCCGGACACTTTAGCCTCCGATTCGAGCCCCGCCAGGACCAATTCCCTCGAATCCAGCTTCCCGCCGAACAGCTCGTTCACTGCCACGGCGGCGGCTGCGGCGCTGGCTGCGCTGGATCCGAGGCCGCTCCCCAAGGGGAGGCCCTTCTCGAGGGATAGAGAGAGGCCAACGGAACGGATGTTGAGCATTTTCATGGCGGCAATCGCTGCGATCCCGGCGCAGTTCCAGATAGGGTTTTTGGACAGCTTGGAGGAGGCGTGGGTGCCGTAAATCTCGGTGATGGAGATCTCTCCCGGGTGGACGGAAGGGTCGACGGTGACGGAGACGTGGTCGCCCAGGCCATCGACGGCGCAGCCTAGGAAATCGAAGCCCGGGCCGAGGTTGGCGACGGTGGCGGGGGCGAAGGTCTTGACGGAAGTGAAGACGGGTTCGGGCTCGGTGATGGTGACGGTGGGGAGGGAGAGATTGCAGCGGGAGAGCGGCGGCGTCGGGGACGATTTTTGGGTGGGAAAGAAGGCGATGGGCTTGAATGTGGAGAGGAAGGAGATCGCCATTACTCTGAAAAACGGAAGGACTGAGGGTTAGAGCTTAGAGAGGGAGAGCAAATGCGAAACCACAAACCAGAGTGTGAGCGTTCGTGTGGTAGTTGACCGGAAGACTGAAAGACTGGAAGGGAAGAAATAGACTATTTTATTATGAAACGATTAACCTGGAAGGTGGGCTCAAGTGCTGAGGCCCATATCCTTGCATATAGATGAAGGCCCAATAGAGTGTTGTGCACTCACGTGACGAGCCTACTCCAGGGAAAGCTGCCGATACTGCTCAACGTTGGATGCAGATGACTGCAAGATGACAATGACCTGGGCCATATTGTCCGATTGGGATATTCATATTATTTATGGGCTGCTTCAGTTGGGCCTAGATGTAATCCTAATTTTATTCCACAACAGAACTTGGGCTTCTGGCCCGAATATTGCTAGATGACAGCCTAACAGGATTTAGACCAAATCGAGGGAACTGGCAGGCAGCCGTTGCGATTGGTCGCAGTGCGTGTCGAAATTTCCCGCTCCATCCCAGAAAGACTAGCACTCCAAGTGTTCGACGTATTGCCTGAACCAAAGTTCCCCTGGAAACTCATCATGCACAGAAGAACATCGTCTCTCCGCTCGTATTTGTGCGGCAAAACTGATGAATCCGCGCTTCGATTTCAGAACTCGGGTTCAATCTGGGTTTCGAAGAAGCAAATCTCAAGCGGGGGAAGGAGGCCGAAGAAGAAGATATACGGACGAGACCACAACCTCGACAAGGTAATGGACTTGCAGAAGAAACCGTCGCTGATCCTGCACCTCAAATCCATCATCGAATCCCACCGGCACCGACGCGTTCTCCTGCGGGACCTCGAGAAGGAAGTTGGGTTCGTACAGAAATGGAACTTCATGGCTTTGATCGAGAAGTATCCTACCATTTTCTACGTGGGCGGCGGTTCCGATAGGACTCCGCCTTTTGTTACCCTGACCGAGAAAGCTGCAAAGATCGCAAGCGAAGAGCCCGAAGCCAGGTTGTTGATGGAGCCAATTTTAGTTAGAAATCTGAGGAAGCTGTTAATGATGTCGGCTGATTGCAGGGTGCCATTAGAAAAGGTGGAGCTCATTGGAAATGAATTAGGTTTGCCTCTGGATTTCAGGGAATCGTTAGTTCCAAAATACCCGGAGTTCTTTTCGGTTAAAGATGTTAACGGGAAAGCTTGTCTTCATTTGGAGCATTGGGATTCTTCCTTGGCAGTAACTGCCCGGGAGGAAAGATTGGAACTTGAAGGAGTTCCAGCTTCTAACCCATCTCGGAAACAGGTTAGAATATCCAGAGATGGCAACTACTCAGGTCCATTCGCTTTCCTCATGCAATTCACTGCGGGTTTCAGGCCGAACAATAGTTTCCTGGAAGAGCTTGAGAGATGGCAGAGATTGGATTTCCCTTCACCATATTTGAATCCCAGGACGTTTGAAGCCGCTGATCCCAAGGCGAGGAAGCGTGTGGTGGCAGTGCTTCATGAGCTGCTTAGCCTGACCATGGAAAAGAGGATGACATCTTCACAGTTGGATGCATTTCATTCCGAGTATCTATTGCCATCAAGGTTGCTGCTTTGTTTGATCAAGCATCATGGTATCTTTTACATCACGAATAAAGGTGCAAGAAGCACTGTCTTCCTAAAGGAAGCTTATGATGGCACTAAGTTAATTGCTAAGTGCCCATTACTGTCGCACATTGACAAGTTTGTAGCACTTAGTGGCCGTCGAGTGCTCGATTCTTGTAATCAGATTGCTTCTTCACCAATTTCCAGTCGTAATTATAGCTCGTCTTCTCATCTACATGATTGAAATGTATGTGTCTTTGTACAATATTTTTCAATGTCAAGCTCCTGCAGTGCTTTACTGCTTTTCCAGGGTATTCAACATGTGAAATTATGAGCATTGTTGATTGAATGGATGATGACAGGAATAGCCGATTAGGCTTGCTTTATATATGCTTCCTGTTCTCTGTTCAGTTTTTGCAGTAGTGCTAGTCTGTAACCAAAAGCATTCCACCATAACAAGTGGAGAAGAGGTTGAAAGGACTAAAGTTAGCACAGTGGAGTAAGGTTAGTTCACCTTCCTTTTGCCATGTAATAGTTGCTGCCTGCCATCATCATATTCATGCTAGTGCTAGTGCTATGTGGCGACATTTTTGCTGCATATTAGTTACCTGTTCCTAGGTCGAAACTAGAATTCCCAATAGCCAATAGACTTTTCCGTTTCTTAGAGCTTCAACACTAGTAGGTGACCTAGTTTGTGGCAGGAAGTTAAGTCACAGTACTGGAAGGAATACTATCGTTTCAATTTGAGTTATGTGGGTCACTGTGGCATCTCTCTTTTTCTTCCTTGCCAAGCAGAGTAGAGAACCCTTTTAGAAACGGAACCAAACTCCACTATACCTTGTTGCACTTTCCAAGCTGTAAAATTCCGAACTTTCCCCCCTCATATCACCTCTTTCCCCCTGTACCATTTACAAAGAGGAAAAGCTATGTATGGCGTGACTAGAAGTCATTTCAACCTTCCAAAGTACTCCTCTTGCTGCTAGATGTGTCTGTTCCTCTCTGGGCTGCTGTAAGAATCATTAGGTACCCTTTTTCAGAAAAAAAGCATTCCAGGGAATTTCCACTAGTGAGAGTTCATATCCTTCCAGAACTAGAACCGCGACAAAGCTGGTGTGAAACAGCCCTGGACATAGGTGGAATTTGATGCACCAGCATCTTTGAATTTGATGCACCAGAATTTGGCTTCAACTATTGTTGTCAGACTCTGCTTTTCTGGGTTAGATCCAATGGTTGAAACAGTCGAATCATCATGTGTCGACACCAGTAAAAACCCGATTAGGCTTCTGGATTGTGGTTGGATTAGTTCCCCACCAACCAGATCGAGCCGGGTTTGACAACACTGTTATCCACCACTTTGCAATCTCAATCAGTTCCTTTCAGCATCAAATCGTCCCCCACAGTCTTCCTGATCTTCTTTCATCCTTCAATATTTTATGTAGGTCTATGCATTATTCGATTCTGCGAGGCTGAAGGTGACACCTTTGGCCTAATTTTGACACTGTGATTTCCATTGTTGAAAGTTCTGCTCTCTCTCCGCCTTCCACTTCTAGAGGACCACTGAGAAATTCAGCAGCTGCAGGCCCACCAAAAGTGAATAAAAGGGAAACGCCAAACCTTTACCCATATCTTTGGCCCATTCTTTACTTCTCAGTTGCGTCGAGCCCTCTTTATATCTATGGAGAAGAATCAATACGTGAATTGAATTTCTTTTTGAGCATCGTGAAGATTACTTAAGGGGAATTAGAATATTTCCCTTGATATATTATATATAGAATACAATACATGCACACGCATGGCTAGCTTTAGGTCAATTAGAAGGGTGGTGTGGAAAACTGTTTACAAAGATATATATCAAGAGACATTACTTATCTTGATCACACTTGTTTGTTAAATAGATTTGAAGTTTGCACCTTACGATTTATAATTTCAAGACAAATTACATATCTTGATGACACCTGTTTGTTAAGTGGATTTGAAGTTTGCAGCTGACAACTATTCATTTCTTCAATTATCGTTGAATTTATTCGGATTCAAATACAAAGGTGTACTTCATACTTTTGCATTCGTCGAACCGCATATAAGTATTGGCGAAGCAAGTAAACATTACAAACATTTCTTCAATTGTATAACATCGATAAGATTATCCAAACTCTTATACGAGACCAGCCATCAATTAACTCCAACTTTGAATCCTGTGCAACAATCCATTATTAGTCATTTACGCAGCATACAGTTGTTCGAAAATTTAAACGGCACAATCTTTCGCAACCTAACAAATTACTTACAACGCAACTCTAGTCACTTCAATCCTGCCTTGGATACATACAACTTGCCCACATCATCATCCCCCATCACCCACTATACTAACCATCAGTAACCATAACCACATGCATTCGCATCAAAAGAAACAAAATCCACAACAAGAAACCGAACAACCTTCGTATCATCAAATCAAATGGATGATAATAATAACAAAGCTAAGAGAGCAGCACCGATGATGAGAAAGAAAAAGACAGTTTAGTTTTTACATGCGCGGCCAGGGCCAGCCAGCCCGACAGACACTGCCTATGCATATGTGTGCACATTATGGACACCTTTGTCTCTGTCAGCATATCTGTCTTCTTTTCCCCCACCGTATAATATTACATTATATAAATGATGATGATGGCGTTGTTGCATGGCCTGCTTGGCATATCTTGTCAGTTGTCAGTTGAAAAAGAATACCCCATGGGAAATGGAATGGGGAAAAAGCTGAAAATGAGTGGGTGTGGCAGGCAGCTGTGTGAATTGAATCCATATTTATCGGTTTCTCTCTGATGCTGGTTTTTGTACGCTTGCTGGTGGCCGTTTGCCGACGGTGGAAATTCCCGGAGGAGCTAGGGTCGGAGAATCATAAATTAGCGGCACCGTGTGGCCCGACTTGAAGGGACCGGCCATATAGCTAAATAAATGGCCATCATGCCTTGCGTCGTATACATGTACAGTTGGAGGTAAGAATTAAACATCAGATCGAATGTGGAAACAAGCAAATCAGTCACTAAAATTTGTCTTTCAAAATGTAAGTTAGTGTGGTTTGAAATCACTAAACCATTTCTCGGTTTGCTAATTTTATATATGGTGTTATTTTATTCAAAATGGATATGTAGGACTATCGGTTCATTTTGTTTCCATCGGTTAGAGTTATCATGTGGCCAAATCTGACATGAGATTTATGTTATTTAAGATGACTCTAACTAACACCATGCAAATAATAATTAGTTCATTCCGATAAGTACTTGAGAATTCTTTGAAAATGACCACGAGTCTGAGACTGAATATTAGAAGGAATCGATATTCAAAACACGATAAATTCATATAATTTAGTTGTCTATTATACCACACAAATTACCATTTCATATCAATAACTTACAAGTATTTTGAAGATGATTCAAAATGGAATGCATAGCCAGCATTCAAAATTTAATATGATATATACTATCCATTTTTTTAACTGATCATGAATCATGATAAGAACTAGTTATCTACTCCAACCCCATATCTAAAATTTAATATGATATCCATCTACTGTAATCAAGAATCTTTTACACATGGGCAATCGCACTGAAAAGCTGTGACCATGTTTAAAAAAACCCACCACCAATAACAACAACCAAAGCGGCAGCCCCCTTAATTAAGGTTGGTGGTGGGGTGGTGAAGGTGGGCAAATGACAAGGAAAATGGGCTCACTCAGACTCAGTTGCTGCTCTCATCTGATCTCCCTCCACAGAAAGCCTCGTGCTATGTCTGCGTAAACATAAACTCCCAGAGGAAAAAACTAAACTCACAAAAAGTCAAATCCATTGATGATGGGATCTTGTTTTGCTTTGCTTTGCTTTGCTCCCTTTTTTCCTCCGTTTCTCTGTATTTTATTCAATCCTTGCTGGGTTCCCCCAAAAAAGGCCACTTGCCTCTGATTGAATGGGTTTGGGATGTAAGACGAAGCTCATGGTGGACCCAATTGGGCCCTAAATTTTGTCCAGCGATCTGGTTGTGTCGAAGTGGCCCATTTTGGAGCCCTTTGATTCGACCCTTTTCTTCACAAATGTCGTTGGAATAGGGAAACCCACCCAATCCCATCATCAAGTACTAGGGGTGACTGTTAGCCGTTAGGTTTGGTTTCGTACTCGAACATATTACTGATCCGGTCAATCAAACTGAACTGACAATCAATCTGATGGTTATATGGTGAATGAATTATTCATTAGGTGCATCATAGTTATTGATTTCTTGATACAAAACTTCAATATGGAATTATGGTTCAATAGAGCGAGTTTCATTGCTTTCATCGTCCAATACCACTCAAATTTGATTTAATATGTAGTTACTGAAGTAAAGGGTATTGTATAAAATTAAACATACAGCTTGTTATCCAATTGCAAATTAAAAATTTTATATTGTGGAGTGAGGGATTGTTAAACACTAACTTTAAGAGTGAAGATAGAAAATTTTGTTCTTTTTTGTGGGTGTTTGGATGTTATCGTCACAAGTCATCCTATATAGTTGCCTGATTGATGATGTCTCAAAGTGTGTTTGGTTTTTCTTAAAGGGCAATGTCTATTTTTTACCCAAACCTTTTTCAGATTCTTTTATTTTAACCAAACCTATAGAAATTCTATTTATTATCCAAACGTATTATAATTTATCAAAGTCTGGGCATTCATTCTGTTACCGTTACTTATTTCGTCCACGTGAGAGGTGGGATTTTGTTTTGTTTTGTGATAATCTTTTTATTAAAAATAGTAAATGATGGTATTCTGACCGCCACATAGGAAGTCAGCTCATTATGGTCATACTTAGTCAGCATTACTAACAGAAAAGTTGACGGAGAGTTAACGTTTGGATAATTTTTAGGAATTCAATAGGTTTGGTTAAAATAAAAGAATCTGAAAAAGATTTGGGTAAAAAATAGACATTGCCCTTTCTTAAACTTTGGTTGGAATTTCAAACATCCCAAGCCATGTGTTCTCTCAGCAAAGCAAAGACAGCCTCTGAAAGTGACATTCCAGCATTCGAGTGATTTTCTAACCCACACCACACCAATGTCTTAATCCATTCAAACATTGTTGGCATATGGCATCTTCCAATATAAGCCTAGCTAGATAGCTAGTAGAATAAGTATAATTGAAAGGAAAGTAGCCAAACCAACCCCAAATATACAATGCACAAGAAAAGTCGCCTAATTAATGGTGATGGGGAAAAGAAGAA